CTGTGGCGGCGACGACGGCTGGGCCGGAACTCTCGGACCAGCAGAGGCGGAACGACCGTCGGTAAGAACACTCAACAGCAGCACCCCAGAACTAACACCCCCAGAGCGAGAACCCCTCCAACACCAGCGGCACCCCCAGAAGCCGCAGGACGAACACCCTCCTCTACACCAGCACCCCCAGGGGCCAAGAGCGGCGGCGGCAGTGGCGGCGACGGCTGCGGCGGCGACGACAGCGGCGACGGCGGCGGCAGCGGGGTCGGCGACTGCGACAGTGGGGGCGGAGGCACCGGGGAAGGGGGACGCGGCAAGGACGGACCAGGGGTACCACCAGAGTCAGCAGACTCCTCAACGGGGACAACCGACGGGAGGGGAGTGACGTGAGAGACACCAGACGGGGCAGGACGAGCGGGAGAGGGGCAGTGGCTACCGGGGGAGAGGGAGCAAGGAACAGGGGCGAGGCAACTGGGAGACCTCGGTGAGGGAAGCGGCGATAGAAGGAGACGACTCGTCAAAGGTGACGTCACGAGAGTGGAGGAAGCGGTGAGACGGCGGGTGGTAGAAAAGCCAGTCAGACGAGTCCAGGGGGAAACCGAGGAAGACACAGGGGACAGTGCGGGCAGTGAGCTTGTCCGTGCCAGCGGCACGAACGTGAGCAAGGCAGCCCCAGACGTGGAACGCCGACGCGTCACCGGGGGACCCGGTCCAAAGGAGGGTCGGCGAAACCTGCGGCCGCTGGGAGCGTGGCCACAGGTTAAGCTGGTGAGCAGCGTAGCGAACAGCGAACGGCCACAGAAAATGGGGGGCATCGGCATGGATCATGGAGGTACGGGCGACCTCCATGACCAAGCCGATGCGGCGCTCAGCAACCCCATTTTGCTGTGGCGAGTCCGGCAACGTGTACGACTGGGTGATGCCCTCCGCACGACAGAACTGTCCAAGCCGACCAGAGGCGAACTCGCCGCCACGGTCAGAGTGGAGACACAACACGGGGAGACCGCGGTGGAGACGCGCAGCCACAACCAACGGGAGAAGAACGTCGGCCACGTCGGCCTTCCGCTCCAGGGGAAACACCGTGGTGTAGCGCGTGTAGTCGTCGACGAGCACAAGGAAGTAGCGCTCACCGCGCGGTCCGGGGACGGGGGCAGGGCCCCAAACGTTTAGGTGCAGGGTCTGAAGGGGGCCAGTAGCAGGACGCAGCGAGAAGGAGTGAGGAGCACGGCGGAGCCGACCCTCGACGCAAGGCGTGCACGGTGGCGCAGTCGAGGGAGGAAGGGCAGGGAGCAACGCGGGGAGACCTAAGACAAGACCGTGCTGGGACATGTGACGCAGACGTGGGAGAGCAGGGTGACCTAAGCGGTGGTGCCAGAGAAGGAAGGGGTGAGTGAGGGACCGACACGAGCAAGCTGCAGCGACCTGGGAGGACGCAGCAACCGGGGGGGAAGCGGTGTCTAGGGTAAACAGACCGGACACCGGGTCCCGGGGGAACGTCGCAAGGGGGGAACCTGAGACAGCCTCAGAACAGACAGCGAACCGCTCGTGCCCGGGGAACGTGGTGGTGACGCCGAGGTCCTGGAGACAGCCGACACCAACCAGGTTCCTGGAGAACGAGGGAACGTGGAGGCCAGTAAGGGAGCCCGAGGGAACTGCCGGACAGGGAAGGGACGTAGAACTGCGCGCGACGACAGGACCCGCAGAGGGGTCAGCGAGAGAGACAACAGCAGGTGCAGCAAGCGGCGTGAGCGTGGAACGGTCGCGGAAGAAGCAGGCAGAAGCACCGGAGTCGAGAGTGAAGGACAGCGACGCAGTGGCGGAGGCCGGGGACGGAGCCGGTGCAGCGACTAGACTAGGCAACCTAGGCAGTCCTACGCCTGACGCAGCAGGGGAGGCTAAGCTACACAGTGGTGCAACACCTAAACTAGAGTACACAGGGTAATAAGATCCAGTAAAACTAGAAGCGTCAGAATACAAAGCATGCAAAGCAGCACCTAGCTGATCCATGTCTAACTCAAAGATCGGCACGCCCTGGCGGAGCAGGCTGTGCCAGTCGGGGAGGTCCGGGGCCGGGCCAAAGCGACGACGAAAGAGATCGTCGAGGCGGCGGAAACAGCGGGCGGTCGGGTGCGGGCGGCGGCACAGAGTGCCGCGAAGAGGCCCGGTCTGAAGCTGGTACTGGCAGGTGACAGCACCGGAGCCGCCGGTAGACGCCAAGCTGCGCGGGCCGCCACCACGGCCACTACCTCCAGAGGTGTCGGGCCAACCAGGCGGGAGAAGGGCCCACTGCTGCGGCGACTGCTGCTGGGACGGTGACTGCTGCTGGGGCGGCGGCTGCGGCTGGGGCTGCTCCTGCTGCGGCTGGGGCTGCTGCTCCTGCCCACCAGCGGTAGTCCCCACAAGCGGACTACCGTCACCACCACTACTGCCACCACCACCCCTACCCCCCTGGCGACCACGGCCACCGCGGCGCGAGCGCTGCTGCGGGTGGACCGCACCAGCCGTCTCGGTGAGAGGGGCCGTCGAGGCGACCGCAGCCGAAACGTCAGTGAACGCACACTGGGAGGGGGCACAACCGTGAAAGATAGAAACTGCCGGCGCACCGCTCGACTGAGCGATAGTGCGCTGGCGAGTTTCGATCTCGGTAAGGGTGTCGACAAAGGCAGTGAGAGTGAGGTCACCCGGGTGCTGGCTAAGAAAGTGATCGCGAGCACTAGCGAGGCGGTCTGGCAGGCGCATGGCGATAAAATAGAGCGTCATGCAGAAAGGGGGGGGGAGCGCAGTGAGCTGGGCGGCAGTGCTGGCAGTGCGATAGCGGGTCTCTAGGGCACGCAGGTGAGTGGCAAAGTCTGCGACGGTAGGGAAAGCTGCAAGGTCTGGGAAAAGCATAGGGAAGAGCAGGCGACCAGCAGATGCAGACGCGGGTGTGGAATAGCGGGCAATAACAGCGTCTAAGTAAGCTTTGGCCGTCTCAATAGTAGCAAAACGCGAGCGCTCAGAGACAGGGAGGGCGTGGCTAATGGCAACCTGAGCGACTGCATCGCGGGAGTCCCAGACCGCACGGGCAAGCGCAGCAGTAGAGAAGGTCTCACGGTCATCAGAGGAGGGATCAGCAGGGAGGGGAGCAGGTGCGGGGGGGCGGGGGAGCAAGCCGTCGACATGGACAACCAAAGAGTGGCCATCCTGGCGCTGACCTGTAAGGTGGCGGCGGAGATCGGAGAGCCAGGCGGCGAAGTCAACCGCATGGCCCTCGGCGTCCAGTCGGAGCACGAAGTCCGCCATCGTGCAGGGTCAGCGGCACAGCTCCACAGGAACACAGCGACGCAGGGACACAGCGACAACCCTCTCTAGCACGGCGGCCGCGAAGCGCCTCAGCACGGGCGAGCAGAGGAGACGGAGCCCGAGGCGGCACGGCAGGACGAGCCGGGGCGAAGGGGCCAGGCAGGTGCGGTGGGGCCAGGCAGGTGCTGGCGGGGCCAGGCAGGCGGGCGGGGCCAGGCAGGCGCGGCGGGGCCAGGCAGCGCGGCGGGGCCAGGCAGGCGCGGCGGGGCAGGCAGGGCGGCGGGGCCAGGCAGGCGCGACGGGGCCAGGCAGGCGCGTCAGGGCCAGGCAGGTGCAGCGGGGCCAGGCAGGCGCGGCGGGGCCAGGCAAGCGCGGCAGGGCCAGGGAGGCGCGGCGGGGCCAGGCAGGCGCGACGGGTCCAGGCAGGGCGCGACTGGGCTAGGCAGGGCGCGACGGGGCCAGGCGGGCGCGACAGAGCCAGGCAGGGCGCGACGGGGCCGAGCGGGCGCGACGGGGCCAGGCAGAGCGCGACGGGGCCAGGCGGGCGCGACGGAGCCAGGCAGGGCGCGACGAGGCCGAGCGGGCGCGACGAGGCTAGGCAGGGCGCGACGGGGCTAGGGTGGCGCGACGGGGCTAGGGTGGCGCGACGGGGCCCAGGAGGGGCGCGACGGGGCTAGGAGGCGCGACGGGGCTAGGAGGGCGCGACGTGGCCCAGGAGGGGGGCGACGTGGCTAGGGTACGGGCGGAAGCGGTAGGTGGGGGGATGCTAACCTACGCGTGATACCATGTCAATGTGAGAACGAATGATTACTAGAAGTGGAAACCTAGAACAAATACTAGTTGGTTGTACTCACTAGAAGCATACCTCGGTCTAGCCTATAACTTCTACATAGATAATATGTATAAGTTGACACCCACCTCACCTTCGCCTTACAGCTGTCCCACTCCCTGTCCCACTCCCTCTCCCACTCCCTGTCCTCCCTGTCCCACTCCCTGTCCACCCCCCTCTTCCTCTCCCACTCCCTGTGCATGCCTCCGTTCCTGCGCCTGCCCATTTACCTGCCCGTTTCCCCCCCCATCCACACGCCCTTCCCCTCGCCCATCAGCCTCACCATCCGTTCCTGCCTGTGCTTGTGCCCTTGATTGTACCTCACTCTCTCCCCCTGGTCTCCCTATGCTTGCCTGCGCCTGTACCTGCCCCCCTCTCTGCCTTTCGCTTGTCCCCACCCTCTGCGCCCCCTCTCGCTGCCCCCCTCTCGCTGCCCCCCCTCTCGCTGCCCCCCCTCTCTCCCCCCTTCTCTCCCTCCCCCTCTCCGCGCCTCTCTCCCGGCCTCTCTCTGTGCGTACACCTGGGCGCGGTAAAGCGCTGCCTCCAGCTTAGCAGCATGGGCGCTCCATTCGGCCAGCAGGCTGCGCAGACGAGCGTGCTCATGCACATACTGCATGACCCAGGGAGGGGGGGAGGGGAGGAGAGGGGGGGGGAGGGGATACATATAGGGGTGTCTCATCAACAGCTTAGCAGCATGGGCACTCCATTCGGCCAGCAGGCTGCGCAGACTAGCGTGCTCCTGCACATACACAGATGGATGGACGTGTAGTGATAGTTCAGCTAAATACACAGGGTTGAGTGCAGGTGCTTGCTCAAGTGGACATACAGATGGATACGCTCAGGTAGATATTCAGGTGAATATTGAGTAGCCACGCGGGGTAATGCACAAGTGAATGCTCAGGTGATCACAGGGTGGTGCATGTATTGTACGGGTTGCCTCTCAGCGTACAGACCTATGAGAGAAGTCGCGAGGGACAACGAAGAGCAGAGAGCAGAGAGCAGAGTGCAGAGCGCAAGCGAAGGAAGCCATGCACAAGACAGGTAGACACTGGATGTACAGCGCTGAGAAGAAAAGACCCTGAGGAAAAAAAAAAAAAAAAAAAAAAAACACCGCAGACACACAATCCACCCACACCCACCAGCTTGTTCTGCTCTTCCAGTCTTTGCACCTCCCTCTCCAACTCCACCACTCTCTGCTGTGTGGACACCATTTCCCGGTACACGCTCTGCATGAGTCCCCCCTCCTGCAGAAGCCGCTGCGCCGGAGGCACCTGCAGCGCTGCTGACCCTGAACTGCCCCCTGAGGAGGAGGACGGGAAGACGGGCGCTGCTGCGGGAGTGGGTAGGGACCGGAGAGGTACGGATGAGGATTCAGGAGCAGCGACACTGATTCGGGTGCTTGGACCAGCAGCAGCAGCTGAAGATGGAGGAGCAGCAGCAGTGGTGGAGGTGACACCCGTGTGCCGTGCTAGTTTGAGAGTGGGAGAGATGGATGACGCGGTAGCAGCAGCAGCAGCAACAGCAGCAGCAGCAGGGGAGGAAGAGGACGAAGAGGCAGCAACGGCGGAGGGGGTGGCGGAAGGGCTTGGGACGGGCGCATAGCGGAAGGACTGGGCCTCTTGAGCAGCGGCTGCTGCTGCCGAGGAGGGCAGGGTGGCATCGTCTGGCTTGGTGAGAGGCGAGGAGAAGAAGAGCAGGTGCTCGTGCAGGGGCTGGTGGGTTGGGGTGGGGGGAGGAAAGCAACAAAAGCCAAGTAAAGGGAAGGGAAGGGAAGGAAAGGGAAGGCTACGTGAGTGACCTGCACACGGACAACAAGAGCACTGGAACCGGCTTCACAGATTTCGGTGCAGTTTTGCCTCTCAAGCCAGCAGGGCAGACAAGAAAGCACGTACCTCGTGACATGAGCCTAGTTTTGAGGCGCCTCAAAACTAAATTTCCGCACTGTTTTACCTCTCAAGCAAGCAGGGCAAACCAGAAAGCACGGACCTGCAGCATTTGAGCGATGTGGTGCTGCAGGTGCAGCCACGCCCTCTGAGACCACACCAGCTGCGGCGACCCCACCGGCATCAGCGCCACCTCCCCTACCACCAGCCCCGCTCCCCCCCCACCCCCCCACCCCCATCCCCACCATTACCGCCTCCTCTCTCCCCCCCCTCCCTCTCCCTCTCCCCCTCCCCGCGCCCCCTCCCTCCTCGCCCTCTTCTGCCTCTCTTCCCCCGGTGCCGACAGCCCCCAGTCCAGCGTGCAGGAGCCATGCCTGCTGGTGCCGGGCGCGGCACACCAGCAGCTGGTGCGCAAAGGCCAGAGACGCACAGGCGAAGAAAGCAGCCTCCATGAGAGAAATGAATCCCAGGACCAGCCACAGGAGCTTGCACACCAGGTCTTCCTCCTCTTCTCCATCTCCTCCCTTTTCGCCTCCCCCTTCCCTTCCCCCTCCCCCTTCCCCTTCGTCCTCCCCTTCCCCTTCGCCTTGCTGTCCCTTATGCGCGCATTGGGAGCTCTGGAGCCCCAGCCATCTCCGCAAGGTGCTTAAGCCTGAAGAGCCGAACTTTGAAACACGCCGTTTCAAGCCTTTTATCCAGGAGGGTGCCGGCTGCAACACCTGCTGTAATTGCTGCTGCGATGGCTGCTGCAATTTCTGCTGCAATGCCGGATGCTGCAAGATCTGCCGTGGCTGCTCTACTCTCTGCCGCACCAAGTCCTGTGGTGCATGCTGCAGGTCTTGGGCTGCTCTCTCCTCTCCGCTCGAATGCGTCTTCCCCTTCGCAAAGGTTCCCCCCCCTCGCAGCAGCAGTAGCAGCTGCCGGTGCTGACGTGGGGAGAATGGGGAGGAGGAGGAAGAGGAGGAGGAGGAGGAAGGGGAGGAAGCAGCGTGCTTGGAGGAGAGGGAGGAGGTCAGGGGGGGGTAGAATGCAGTCAGATGGTTAGCTGTCAAGGGAAAAACACCTGGGGAAGCTACAAACGGGGATAGCTGTGACGACAAGGGGAAACCCACCCCTGGCGTTGCTGCTGAGCGTGGGGGCGATAGGAATGATGGGAAGCGACCATCAGATACAAGAGGAGGAGGCGCAGGAGGCGCAGGAGGCGCAGGCACACGAGGAGGGGGAGGAGGGCGAGGGGGAAGGGATGGGGGCGGCAAGGGACCCGAAGGGGACGAGCCGGGCTGAAACAGAGGCACCAGGAGCAGTACTAGCGCGAGCAGCAGCGCGTTGCCCGCGGAAAGCGCCACTAGAGGGGACACAGCCAGCCAGCCCAGGCGGCAGACTAGCAGCACGTCCCCGAATAGGAGGTGGAAGAGCAATTGACGGGAGAAGATGACATAGAGGAAGGCGAAGAGCAGGAGGAATACGAGGTGTATGATGAGGAGTATTTGGGAGAGGATGTTAGGGTTAGGGATGTGAGTTAAGAGGAAGCGCGGGGAGTGTTGCGGCCAGAGGGCGCGGCACGCGAGGAGGGCGAGGAGCGACGTGAGGAGGAGGAGTAGGAAGACGTAGAGAGAGAGTGTGGGGAGGAGGTTGGCTAGCGGGGGGTTGGGGGGACACAGGGGGCACGGCGGAGTGCCGGTTTCAGGGTCCGGGTTTCCCCCTACAGGATTTGGGGATAGATTAACGGTATTTACAGGATTAAAGGGGTTAGTAAGGTTAGTTTCTGGCGAGGAGGGGAAGAAGGAAGGCGGGGTGTAGAGTAGCGGGTCGTATAGGCTCGGATCCGCGACACCTGCGCTTCTGCGCGTAGGGTTTCCGCCGCCACCACCCCCGCCCGCGGGCTCACCGCCGCGGGAGCTAGCGCTAGCGCCCGTGAAAGCGCCTCCCCCGGAAAAAGCGGTGCCGCCTCTTGTGCTGGGACCCCCGCCACTCTCGCCGACCCTGCTACTTCCGCCGATTGCAACTAGCGGAGAAGCCCTAAACGGGGATGCGCTTAGCGGAGAGGAACCAAGCAGGGACGAACCAGGAGGGTGTGCCGGGGGTGGCGGAATCGTTGCATTTCCGCCGGTGCCCACAGTGATGGCACCGCTATTGTCCCATCTTCCTACACTCATGCCTGGACCGCTGCCGCCGCTGCTGCTGAGGCCGCTAGTGCTGCTGGTGGTCGGAGTGAGCGGAGAGTACGCAGCTCGGCGCGCGGGGGGGAGAGGATTCGCGGGCGGATATCGATCCGCGGAAGACATGGCTGACGGACGATAGGCGGGGAAGGAGCGGCGCATATGCGGAACCTGGCGCGAGGCATGAGGCGCAGCAGATGGATGAACAGTGCAGTGTAGCGTGTAGAGAAGGAGAGGAACGCAGATGCGGCTGCAACGGACAACGGCTGCGTTCTGCAGGCAATTTTGGAAGGTTCCAAGTCGCGTGTAGAAGGTTCCACAACAGCGCTTTTTTGGTCCGGAACCTCGGTCAGCCCGCAAAAACGTGCCAAAACAGCCTCGAGCTGTCCGAACCTAGAAGAGTAGCTGCGCCTGCAGAACGCACCCACCTCAACGCGGAGGTTGAGTTCACGAAGGTCGAGGGGCAGATTCGGACTCCGCCAAATCGCAGGGGGACGCGGTGGAGTCAGTGGCTGTGTTCTACATGCATTTGACGTCGACGTCGACGTCGACATTGAGGAAGCTCCTCAAGCGACTTCGAGAGCACTGGTTACCACTCAAACCAGGTGCACTTTCCAAACCTCGCTTGGAAGCAACGCGCCAAACTGTGGAAAGCGCGAGCGAAAGGAGAGAGGACACAAATTGAGGCTGATGTAACGCCACACGCAAGGTGAACTCCTCGATTTAGCGAACGTCAGCATTGCGTCACCTTTGCGTCAAATTTGCCAGGGAGGGAAGCGAGGGGGGTGTTTCCCTGACGTAGATGTCATCTGTACATGGACCAGTTCTGCAGGCATTTTGATGTAACTAGGTTCGGGTACCTTGTGTCAGGTTTGGACGAAATTTTGCGGGCTGACCCTCGATCCGAAGCAAAAAATCCGGCTTTCGGAAGTTGCTCTGATGTAATATGCACTTTCCTTTCTGCCTGCAGAACGCAGCCCGTGTGCTAGGATGAACCAGAACCCCACCCCGCAAAATACCTACAGCTGGACCCCACCTCCCACAAAACCAAGATGCGCATGCCCAGAAAGAAAACAACCTCTCACGACTTCAGCCTCTCAAAGCACCACGCACTCCTCACAACCACCAGAGCACCCTAGTGGTTGGTGTTCGACGCTTTTTGCCCTTTTTGTTTTGAATGGCCCGAGGCAGTTGTTCATCCAGCGTTTTTGTTTCTGTTGTTGCCCTTGTCGAAAACACTAGCGCGGTTTCCCCAATTTGTCTGCGCAGCTTCACGGTGTGGTTTGGGTGGTTACCATTACTTGCGAAATGAGATGGTCTACTTCCTGGACTCCACCTCTGCCGCCCACTCCACTGCCTGCAGAACGCAGCCGATGTGAGGCAAGTATGCAAGGCGGGACCAGGCGGCACACGAAGAGCGCAGAGCTGAGGGTTCGCATGTCTAGGGCGTGGCACATTTTGTTCGACAAGAGCCCGAAGTTCGAACCTTTTTTAGTCACTGTACACGTTTTGGTGTTTCTAAGTAGGCTCCAAGACGGTGCAACGCGGTTGCGTTATGAATTTTCTGAGAAAAGTACCACGCCCTTAGAGTGCATGTTCTCGTTTTTGTTCGAACGTAGGCTGGTTACTCCACCAGTGAATGTCCAAACCGGGCGCCCTGAAACTTTGACCTGCTGCAATTGCGATATAACGATATGTTGGCGAAAGTAAGGGGTCACGAAAAAAAATAAATCCTGCGGGGAAACATTTGGATGCTCGCTGATTTTCGCCTACACAAATCGCCGAGAAGCAGCCACCTCTGTGTGTGATTATGAGGGGTGCGGTTCGAACAGCCTCGATTGAACCTGTAGTCGATATGGTCGGACGCAGCACTCGAGCTATGGGTTCAAGAACGAGAGCGCACGCGCCCTCAGACAAGGGTCTGCAAAGGTCATAAACCAATCAAGCGTGAGGAAGCACATTGCTGAAAATAGTCTACATCAATCCAACTTCAGAAATTATATTGTTGCGATTCAGAAAGAGAATATATTACATGATTTCGCATTTTTAAAAGAACATTGCTACTATCTAAGAGTCCCAAAGTATCATTCCAATAGTGCATTGCCCAGTCTAATCAGGAATGTCTAAAACGGGTTACATACCTTGAAAAAACTTTTCCCTGCGCGCCTTGCCAGCAAGGTCGATTTGGGAGAACCAGGGAACTCCAATCACGAAGCTCGCAAATGACAGGCCAGCCCAGTGATCTCAGCAAGGTGAGCGTCCTGCCACTGTGGACCACATAGGCAAGGGGTGTGATTCCTCCTAGTCATCGCAAGGCCTGACGTCCTTGGAGGTTTGGGAAGGCTGGCGCACAGCCACACATGGCTAAGCTACACTCGATTTGACAAGATTTTCACACACACGAGTGTTGTACACGTGGCTATGTTGCTGCGATGATGTGGTTCCAAACCAGTCGAGTTTCACAACCTCTTCCAAACACTTTTGACGCGACACGACTCCCCAAATCAGGGAACACAAACAAGCATGTCCCCAATAATGTTCCAGCAAGTGCAGTCCAGCATGTCATCTGCCCGCTTTGGGTTTGGAGCCCTCGGACTTCCTGAAAGGTGTGGTTCACGCTAAAAATTCTGCGGAATTGTTGACGGAATTTGCGCAACCGGATTCGCTGCGACGAAACAAACCCAGGCTTACTACGACTGCGACCCTGCGGGGCAACCGAAGCAAATGAGAAACTTAGGGCGCCAAAGGTTCAGAATGAAACCTCGTCGACCAGGGTTCTCCAAATCCGAGTTTCCACCCCAAACCTCGGGAATTGCAGGCGTTGGTGGCGCGATGTGGTGGTGGTCCCACAGAAGGTTGGAGAGGAGAGAGTGATGTGGGCTGATCTGGAGGCCAGCTCAGTTGGGGTGTGTGTGAGGTCGCAGCGCGTACTCCCCCGTGCGCACAACGAACTCTGACCCCCAAAGCGCGCGCTCCAGCTTGGCATCCCCCACGCCAGGGTCAGCTGCGCCGTTAAGCGGGTTTCCACTGCACTTCCTAGTTTCAGCCCCCCAGGACCCGGGCCTTCCCCCCCTATCCCCCCCAACCTGTTGCACCATTCATTGTTCATCCCTCCCTCACCCGTCGTTGGCCCACTTCTCACGTGTCTCCCTTCACTTCCCCCGTCTGCCTTCCCTGCAAATGCCCTCAGCTCTGCACCTTTTCACAGCCCCTTCAGTCTTGGCCAAAACAGCCCGCGCACACATCTCTTTTCCCTGAGCTTGACGCGTTCGACGCTGCCCGTTCTGTGCCTGCTGCTCCCTCGTCCCTGCTACCCGGCGATCTCCTCGCCTGAGCTCTCCCACCCGGTCATTTTCTTTCCACTCTCGTGCGGTTGTGCGGTTCCGCAGAGCCATTGGATTGGACATTCGACGCGAGAAGCCGGTGCACATCCTCCCTGCATTCGACGAACCCAGATCCTCCACTTACACGCAAGAAGGCTGCGCTCTGACAGCATTTGCCACCTTGCATCCCAAGTCCCGGGTCCTCGTGTCCCTTATCCGCCGGACAGCAATTCGGGCTGGAAAGGAAACCTCCTGCTCCTCTTCTGCCTCTCCGCCAACACCACCAGCACCATTTCGCGCTTTTCATTTCCTGTTGCTCTCTCGCTCGCCGTCGGGGAACTATTTGTTCGAGCTACAAGAGCCTTTATTTACGATCACCTACAAGCCATCAGTGGTCTTCCAGCAACCGCCATTCATCGATTCGCTTCCGCACATCCTCGCATCCTGGCATTCTGGTCCTTACCTCCAGAGCATCATCAAGAGATCGTAGCGGTCATCATCCTTTCATCATCGAACGCTCTCCGCGCACATCATCCCTCCAGGTGTACGCTCTCCAGCCCAGAACGTGCCTCACGTACATGTCTTCCTCCCCCTCGATTTCTTCCCGATTTCCTGAAAGCCGATTTCCGTGTTCCACGCAACGTCTCCCGTGCTCTCCGTTCCCGCACCGCCTCGATCCCACCTCTCCGCACGAACACGATCACTGCCGCGAATCGCCCGTATCCGCGCCCCGTATACCAACTTAATCACCGCCACTCGTTTCCACCATCAGCGCCATCCGCGTCACCAGCGTCCGGACCTTCATCAGCGTGATCATCGTCAGCGCATCCATAAGGCTCGACGCTATGGTTAACGCGTCCAAGCTCTTGGCGGCAGCGGGAGCGGCGGCAGGGCGGTCGGGATCCGTTCCGGCGCTCCTCTCGCGCGTCTTCCACGCTGCTGTCGCCAGCAGATCGCTCGCACCCCTCGCGATCTCTTGCGCGAATATCGCCACCTCCGCTTCCGCCTCCGCGCCTACTTCCACCGCCGCTTCCGCTCCCGTTTCCTCGAATTCCGTCTCCTCTCATGGTGAAGCTGCTGGCGCGGCCAACGCGGGTATGAGTAGATCTGGTAGCTCGCGCAATTTGAGCACTGCCGCCGTGGCAGTTCAGTACGACGACGACGACGACGAAGCCGAGGGCGAATACGCCGGCGAGAAGCAGCAGCAGGGTTACCCGTCGCCGTTTCGCAGGGCTCAGCAGTGGCAGCAGCAACAACTGCAGTGGCAGCAACAGAAGCACGCGTTCCAAGAACAGCCAGGAGTCCCTCTGAGTTCACATCCGCAAAACCCTCGTGACGATGAAACAGCACTCGTCTCTCCGTCATCCTCTTCCTCCTCTTCCTCGTTCCCCTCCTCCCCATCATCCTCCACTCCCGCCGCCTCCTCAATTGGCTGCTCGTCCACCGCCGAGCCCTTCCTAACAATGCCGTATCCGTCGTGGAAGTCGCCGCACTCGTCGCATGCGAGTCGCTGGACGCAGGGCGGCGACGGATCGAGCGACAGCGGAGTGGAGCACCGCGCGCTGCTCGTCGACGCGGCGGGAACCCTTGTAGAGCCTAGCGAGCCAGTCACTAAGGTCTACGCAAGCGTGGGGCGCAAATACGGAGTTTCATACTCGGAAGATGAGATCCTGCAGAGGTATCGCCACGCGTATGTCCAGCCATGGCGGAAGTCGATTCTGAGATACGAGGACGACGCGCGGCCGTTCTGGCAGTACGTGGTGTCGGAGTCGACAGGGTGCAGCCATCCGGATTACCTGGAGGAGCTGTACCAGTATTACACCACCAAGGAGGTAATTGCATCTTCCCCTTCCTCTCTTGCTGCAATCATAAACCCTCCTTTGCTCTCCTCTCACATCAACTTCTCCTCCCGTTCCTCGTTCACCCCCTGGTTCCCTCGTCGTCTCTATCTCTCTCTCACATCCATCATCCCCTCCCCCCCTCAACCCCCCCTTCGTTCTTCCCCTCCAGGCGTGGCGCCTCACGGACCCGCACGCGAAGGAGGCGTTCTGTGCGATCCGCGATGCAGGGGTGAAGATCGCGGTGGTGTCCAACTTTGACACGCGCCTGCGCACTGTGCTCAAGGAGCTTGACTGCCACGACTGGTTTGACGCCATTGCCGTCTCCGCTGAGGTGCGGCAACTGGAGGGTTTTACTGCCTATTTTCTTTGTATATAATCATGCCAATCCAGCTGCTTCCACAGTTGATGGGGTGCTGTCGATTTGTATGGCATGGCATGGCATGACACATTTCAAGCTCTTTTGTCGCCTCTCGTCGTGCCTGTCCTTGTAAGTTCGTTTCTTCATTCTCCCCTGCTAAACCCCGTGGTCTCCCAATCCGCAGGTGCAAGCAGAGAAGCCCAACCCAGTGATATTCCACTCGGCCTGTGACCTGGTGGGTGTGGATCCACACCACGCAGTGCATGTGGGTGACGACAGGAGGAACGACCTGTGGGGCGCGAGGGATGCAGGCTGCTCTGCATGGCTATGGCAGGACGATGTGCATTCCTTCCATGACGTTGCTCGCAAGCTCGGAGTGCTCTTCCCAGGGGAGGAGGAGAGCCCCGAGGTGACTAATAAGAGGGCGATGAGGAGGACGCCTCGGTGGGCTGACAGGCCCATGATTGCGGCTAATGGCCTCCAATTTAGGCGCCACTAGGTGCTGCCTGCAGTGCTGTGGAGATTGTTGGCATGCCGCATACTAGGGCGTGAGAAAGGCACTATAGATGCATTTCCTGTGCACCTTTCAGTCCACAAGCCTAGTTGGTCCTCTAAGGCGACGTGTCAGCCCTTTTGTGTAGCCTCCCCATAATTAATAATCAATAAAATTGGAGCTGGATACCACATGGTTGCGTTGTACGCCTAATTGCATTCCGGTGGGAAGCCAATACCGCGGGCCGAAACTGATAACTAACGTGCAGGTTCGGTTTCTCCCCCCAGGTCTTCCTAAAAAAAAAAAAGCAAGGGTTAGCCCGAAGAAGCTATCGGCCTAAAAAACAAGGTTTAGCCCCTCAAACCAACCAGTTTTCCAACCCAGATGTAATTGAAAAGGGTAGTCAAGAAGCCAACCAACACTTGGCGTTTCCCCACAACACCCTGCTGATTTTATCAATAATGATGGCTACTCATCTGCCCAAATATCGAGTGATTCACTCCATAAAACCTCCAGCGCTTGTTGGGAGCCGCCAAATTCGGCTTGTTGGTGGTCAATCACGTCGCCCAATGCACTGCCAGCTCTGCGAACGTCACCAGTGTGTCAATTTTCAGTTGCTCTCTGTACGGTACAGTGCGGCGATATAAAATTTTGGCACGTTACACTGCGGTGCTTCGCTGCAAGTTATTGTTCTAAGATTGGTCACGTTTGCGGTCAGGGGAGAGGCTAGCTAGCAAGAGCAAGGAGTTAGCTTGTTCTCCCTAACCAATGCTGCACCTGCCTTGCAGATAACTCTGCCTCATGCAGTGTGGTTGGTCAGTCCATGCTCTAATATTCGTGTCGCTGGCCGTTCGTCATAAACATTCTCCTGCAGTCACAGCACGCCCAAAGTTTCGAAACCGCATTAAAATATTGCTGCAATAGAGTAGGACGGTCCGCTCTCGTCCGCGACACCATTTTCTTTTCTCCCCCGCTGTGCGTTTCAAATGACCTAGTACTGTAGTGCTGTTTCTCCGGCCCCCTCGCACCGCAAACCTCTCCCTCCCTGCCACGCTACTAAATGCTCCCATTTTTCGCGTTAATTAGTACAGCTTATTGCAATGGGTTTGTTCTGAGCGACAATGAAGTTGCCGGACGTCAAACTAGTATTAACTCCTTTCAGCCGTACTATACCGTAAAGTCGACTGACTAAGACCCACGCATTGGCTCAAGGCTTGTGTGAGACCCATAGAAATAGTTTCTCGTCTATCGCGTCTCACTATGTAGTTTAGTTTCTACAAGAGCCACCTGCTCAGACTCGTCAGCGGCGCGGCTGCGGCGGCGGGGGAAGCCGCGGCCCGGTATCCCTAGTTACCATGACGGCGCACCGCAAGGGGACCTCCGCGCGCCCTTCCGCCACTCTCCGGGGAAGCGCGGGCGGCGGAGGGGGCTCCGCGGGGGCGGGCCTGTGCGCTGCCGCTGATGTCGCTCCGTCTGGGGCTACTGGCGCGCCTAATAGTGGTGGCTCCGCTAATGGCGGCGGTAATGTCGGAGGGAGCAGTAGCAACAGTGGCAATGCGGGTGGTGGTGGTGGTGGTGGGAGCAGCGGTGGTGTTTCTGGGTCTGCTATTGGGACCGGAACTGGGAAGGGGAGATGGAGTGTGTGCCAGCAGTTGCCAGTGATTTTACTGACTGCTACTAATATGATCATCATTGGCATGCTGTACAGGTGATTCTCGATATAGTCACATTGGGATGGGGGCATTGTGCACGGTGTTGCGCCATGGTGATGCGGTTATGGTGATGTTCGCTCGCATGCACATGCCTCATGCTCCTGCCGCATGCCACATGTCACATGCACATGCACATGCCACATGCACAAGCCACATGCACAAGCCACATGCACAAGCCACATGCACAAGCCACATGCTCATGCCACATGCACATGCCACATGCCACATGCACATGCCACATGCTCCTGCCACATGCACATGTATCTGCATCTGCATCTGCTGATGGGTTCCCCGCCTCAATCTCCCCACCCCCTCCCCACACCCCTCCCTCTCACTCCCTCTCACTCCCGCTCACTCCCTTCTCACTCCCTCTCACTCCCCTCTCACAGCGACATCTCCCACCATCACTCCGACGACTCCATCTACCCCGACACAGGCGTCGCCACACCAGCATCATTCTCCTCCCACTCCCACCCGCACTCACGCCACCTGACCCCGCGGCACAGGCTGCAAGAAGGCGGACTAGACGTGGAGGACAGAGGGAGCTTGCAAGAAAAGGATAGTGAGAGCTCGCGTGAAACGAGGGGCGGCAGAGGGCGAGGAAAGAGGCTGGGGCCTGGCGATGCTGATGTGGAGGGACAGGCGTTGGATCTAGAGGGAGATGTAGATCGAGATCGATCCGACGGCTGGGGTGATGAGGGGGAAGGGGGTATTGGGGTGAGGAAGGGAGGGAAGAGGAAAGGGGAGTTGGAGGGAGATGAGGACGGGGAAGTGGAGAGGAGGTGGGGGGAAGGCGAAGGGGGGATGGAGGGGGATGGGAGGGAGGATGATGATGGGGAGGCGTATGGGGAGAGAGAGGGGAAGGAGGGGAGGAGCAAGAGGCGGAAGAGGCGGAAGAGAAGGAAGAGGGAAAGGCAAGAAGGGCGAAGCGAGGACAGAAGGGGCGACAATGGGAGTGAGCTTGAAGGAGGAGGTGACGGTTCAGGTGATAGTCCAGGGTCAGACTTCGGAGGGAATGACTGGGTTGAAAGGCAAAGAGCCAGGAGAAAAGGAAGAAGACGGAGAGGTGAGGGAGAGGGGGGAGAGATGGAAGATGAGGGAGCAAGAGAGGGGGTTGAGAGAGAAAGAGAGGGAGTAGGGGAAGGAGGAGGGAGGAGTGAAATGGATATTGATGGGGAGACCGGGCGAACGAAGGAAAGGGGCGGGGAGGGGGAGAGAGAAGGGGAGGTAGGCGGAAAGAGAGGGGGAGGTAGAGAAGGAAGCAGAAAAGGCAGCAAAGAATGGGAAAGAGAGAATGTGGGAGTTGGAAGTGAGAGGATATGGGAGCAAGGAAAAGGCCAGAGCTTAAGTACGGAGAGAGGGGGTGGGGCAGGGAGCAGTGGGGGGGAAGACGGGCTGAGTGCAGAAGGGAGGAGGGCTGGGGAGGAGACGAGGAGTGGCAAAGGGGATGGTTTGGAAGGGGTGGTTGTGGGAGGGGTTGGCAGAGAGGCAGGCGGAGGACCAGGAGGAGCGAGAGGGGCGCGAGTGGCGGCTGGTGGAAGCACGCAAGGGGAGGAGGTGAGGGACGGAGGTATCAGTGGTGGAATCAGACAAGTCGTAGAGCAACAGAGGGAGCAGCAGCAGAGATTACCGCCGCAGGAGAGAGCGAAGCAGCAGCAGAAGGAGAAGCAGCTGATTGGGGAGGATCAGACGCAAGAGCCGCAGAAGGAGCAGAGGCAGCAGCAGAAGCGGGAGTGGGGTGGGGGAGACATGAGCAAAGAGGGGCAAGAAGGGAGGGAAGGAAGCGGGCAGCATTTGGGGGTGCTAGGGGGCGGAGCGATGGGGGGTGGAGCGATGGGGGGTGGAGCGATGGGGGGCGGAGCGATGGGGGGCGGAGCGATGGGGGGTGGAGCGATGGGGGGCGGAGCGATGGGGGGTGGAGCGATGGGGGGTGGAGCGATGGGGGGTGGAGCGATGGGGGGTGGAGCGATGGGGGGTGGAGCGAGGGCAAGGGACATGCTGGAGGGCGGAAGGGAAGGGGCTGGGAGCGAAGGGACGCAGTCCAGGGGATTCAACAAGGGAGGGGTTGGAATGGACAGGTCTTCCTCTTCCTCTTCCTCTTCCTCTTCCTCTTCCTCTTCCTCTTCCTCTTCCTCTTCCACTTCCACTTTCTCTTCCTCTTCCCCACTGCTCTTAAGCCCCTCTGTCTCTCTGCCTTCCCACTCTCCTCCCACACTCCCTCCTGCTCCTCATCCCCCCCTTCCATCCCTCACTACGAAATTCCCCTCTCCCCCAACCCCAACTCTTCCCTCTCCACGTGCCTCCTCCCTGCCTCTTCACACTCCATCAATCTCCCCTCGTCCTCCTTCCTCTTCCCCCCACTCTTTAGCTCGCTCGCCTCCCCTTTTAGTCACACCACCCTCGTCAAGCGCCCAATCAGCTAAGGCCCAATCAGCCAGGCCTCCATCCCTACTTTTCCCTTCTATGGACAAGAGAAGCCAGGGACAGACGCAGCGGCAACAGAAGGAGCAGCAGCAAGCGCAGCGGCAACAACAGGCAGCTTCGCAGCAGCAGCAGCAGGGGAAGCAGCAGGGGAAGCAGCAGGGGAAGCAGGGGAAGAAACAGCAGCAACAGCAGCAAGAGCAACGGCAGCCGCAACAGGAGAAGAAAAAGAGGAAGCAATCGCAACAGCAGAGGCGGAAACGTCAGGAGAAGAACCACGAGAATGGGCAGCAGATGCTGCCACAACAGGAGCAGGTTTCTCAGAAGCAGCGGAAACAAAACCGCCAGCAAAAGCTGCAGCAGCAGCAGAAGCAGCGAGAACAGCAGGAGCAGCAGCAGCAAGGGGGCAGCAAGGGAGCAGGAGGATTGACGGATCTTGCATGGGCTAAAGTAAGGCACCCTCTCTGTGTCTACTTCTCTGGTGTCACTGGGATGGAAAGTGCTTGTGCTGCTCTGCTCTGCGCCTGCTTCTCTGTTTTGCTACCCCCTATGTCTCGCTGGGTGTCTCCCTTTCTTACTTTCTCCTCCCCAACCCTCTAATCCTCCAATTCCCCAACCACACCACCACTAATCTCCTCCCTCGCCCACTTTCTTCTCCCTCTCCCCCCCCTCTCTCTTGCCCCTCCTCCCGCCCTCCCGCCCTCCCGCCTTCCCCTCACCGCAGGGTGACTTTGTGCTGTTCAGCGGCTACCGTGCCTCCATGGATTCCTTTGTAGCCATCGGATTGCACCGCCAGGGCAACACCACCACCTTCACCGCCCAATCATGCGAGTGCGTGAGTCCCTCAAGGCACGCACCATGCCTGCTAGTGACTCGCGTTTTTCTGGTTGGAATTTAGAGCCCCTTTCACTGTTTTTGGAGTTAGGGCGAGGGGGGAAGGGGGGGGGGGGGGGGGGGGAGGAGAAGAGGGGTGGGGGGAGAAGGAAGAGTGGGGGGGGGAGGGGATGAGAGAATCTGTGGTACCAGGCATACTTCTATTGTAGCTTAAAACCCCCTCGTCCACCCTCCAGCACCCTCTCGCCCCTAACAGAACTGACCTTTCTTCTCCTTCCGAGCCGTCACCCACAACAAACTTGCTGCACCATGCATTCCCTATCCCCCTCCTCCTCTCCCCCCCTCCTCCTCTCCCCCCCTCCTCCTCTCCGCAATCAGGTGGGTGGACAAGGCTGGAAAGAGGGTTGCAGTACAAGTCATGGTCCAGCGCCCAACCCAGCCACACCCACCGAAACACCTGCCTTGAGGCGCCTCAAAGCTTTCCGAAACATCCACTCCCCCCCCCGCCCCCCCCTCCCCTCCTCTCCCCCCCTCCTCCTCTCCCCAATCAGGTGGGTGGACAAGGCTGGAAAGAGGCACGCAGTACGAGTCATGGTGGAGCGCCCATCTCAGCCGCACCCACTGAAACACCTGTTTTTGCAGCGCCTTAAAACTTTCCGAAACCCCCTCCCCCCCTTCTCCCTTCCTCCTCTCCCCAATCAGGTGGGTGGACAAGGCTGGAAAGAGGCACCCAGGACGAGTCATGGTCAAGCGCCCGTCCCAGCCGCACCCACCAAAACACCTGCAATCAGCCGCTGCTGGTACTGCTGCCACTGCTGCTGCCACCACTCCTGGGAAATCCCCAGCAGCAGGGGGATCAACGGGAGGAGCAGCAGCAGGGGCAGCAGCGAGGGGGGGCAGTGGGGGCAGTGGGGCCGGGGGCGGGGTTGGAGGGGGAGCAGAGACGGTGGTACTGGTTTGCATGTTGCAGGAGGAGACGAGTCTGCGCACGGGGGGCCAGCTGCACATGGTGGTGAATGGCGCTGACGTGCTGGTGTACGAGGAGGAAGGGAATCCTGGGTACCACCACCGATTCGCTGTGAGTGCACTGCACGCCTGGGTAGGTATTTCGTCTGCTTTGTTGTGGGATTTGGGCCGACTGATTTGATCAGGTGCCTGGTTGCCTGGTTGCGCGATGCATGGGTGCAGTACGCCCGTCCACGTTCCTCCCATCGCACATTTGTTGCCCCTCTCGTCGTCTTCTGCCTCTTCACCCCCCCCCAGGACGAGGAGACGTTGATCTACGACCTCATGTACTGCAGCACGCCCATCCACGTCCCTCCCAGTGCACATCTCTTCACCTTCTTCTTTCTTCAACCTCGCAACCAACCCCTCCCCCCCCGCCACCCCCCTCCTCTCCAGGACGAGGAGACGTTGATCTACAGCCTCATGTACCGCAGCCCGCCCATCCACATCCCTCCCATCGCACATCTCTCTCGTCTCTTCTTCGCTCATAACCTCCCCTCCTCCCCCTCTCTCTTCTCCTCCCCCCCCTCTCTCCAGGACGAGGAGACGTTGATCTACAACCTCATGTACTGCAGCACGCCCATCCACGTGGCCGTGCACGCTGCCAGATTCGCTCAGTGGCTCAACTTCCACCGCACCATGCACCACGTGAGCGCTGGGGAAACACGAGAGTGCAGGGGAAACACGAGAGTGCCGGGGAAACACGTGAGTGCCGGGGAAACATGTGAGTGCAGGGTAAACACGTGAGTGCAGGGTAAACATACTTGCAAAGCAACTGATCTTCCAACTGATGTTTAGAACAGCAGCAATCCGTTTGTTTAAGGCACGCTGCCAGATTCGCCCAGTGGCTCACCTCAACTTCCACCGCACCGTGCACCACATGAGCGCAGAGATAGTTCCTTCCTCAGAATCGTTGAAAACGATCGCGCCGTCCGTCTGTAATCACTGAACAGTCGTGAGGCTTGTGCAATCCCGCTGCTCGAGTCCGTGTGTGATGAGTCGACTCATTATACACGCCGCGTGGCTGAACGTCCACCGCCGCACCATGCACCACACGAGCGCTGCTGGGGGGCGGATGGGAGGAGACTGGGGACGGGGGGAATGCGAGGGAGATAGAAAGGAAGGGTGGCAGGAAGAATGGGGATAGGGCAGGAGGGGAAGGGCACTTTAAGGCACCAGAGCAGCAGAAAAACTCAAACCTCATTCTTGTCTCTTTCCACTCCCACACCTCCGCGCCCCATTTCCCCCCCTTCCGCACTTCTCGCCCCTTCTCTTCCCCCTTTCTGTCCCGCCTTTCCCCTACCTTCCCCCCTTCCCCCCCCCTCAGGTGGATTATTTCAAGCTGTACGATGAGGGCGGCATCAAGGAGCAGCTGCTTTGAGACGTCTCAAAACACTTCCCCCCACCCCCACCCCCCCACTCCCCCCCCCCTTCAGGTGGATTATCTCCAGCTGTACGATGAGGGCGGCATCAAGGTGCGGCTGCTTTGAGACGTCTCACAACACTCCCCCTCCCTTTCCCCCTCCCCCCCCCTTCCCCTCCACCTTTCCCCCCCCCCTCAGGTGGACTATTTCCAGCTGTACGATGCGGGCGGCATAGAGGAGCGGCTGCTGCAGCAGCTGGCGCCCGCCATAGAGGCGCGCGCCGTGGCTGTCATGGACATGCGGGGAGTAGCAGGGCTCGATGGGGTGGCGCATGGGCAGGTGTGTGTGTAGTGGGCACAAGGGAACATACGGAGCATCTGGTGCCTGCCATAGAGGCGCGTGCCGTGGCTGTGATGGACATGCGAGGGGTGGCGGGGCTGGATGGGGTGACACGTGGGGAGGTGTGTGTGTAGTGAACGCGTGGGCAGCTAAGGGCAGCATGGAGGCACGCACCGTGGCTGTTATGGACATGCCGGGGGTAGTTGGGCTCACAGGGGTGGCGCATGGGCATGTGCACGGGATGTCTCCCTGACAGGTGGACTTACGAGGTGCCTCGGAGACACGTGCCAGATGCTCTTGGGCTTGGTCAGGGGGTCCTCTGTTTTTTAGAATTCTAAAAAACAGACCACAACCGAGGTGGCTCGGAGACACGTGAGATGGGCTCTTGGGCATGTGTTAGGGGTGAGAGGGCAGGTAGAGATCTGTGCACGTGCAAAGGGTGACTCCATTGGCTGGTATTCCTTTCTCTTTCTTTCTTTGTCCACATGCTGCCCGCTGTGTGCTGCATTCCATATCTGTCATCTCCCCTCTCCCCCCCCTCCCCCTGCATCCCCTCCTCCTTGTACCTTCCTTCCTCCCCGCCCTTTCCCCTTGCTCCTTGCCACCCCACCCCCCCCCCCCCCCCTCCCCTCCTCCACACACCAGCTCTTGGCGTTTCACGACTGCCTGTACTTCGCCCGCAGTGCAGCGCGCTGGGCGCTCTTCCTGCACCCTGACGAGTACCTGCTCGTGCTGCGCCCCCCGCACTCCATCACGCCCCTGCTCGCACTGCACCAGGTTGGGGGGGTAGGGTAGGGTAGGGTAGGGTGGGGTGGGGTGGGGTAGGGTAGGGTAGGGTAGGGTAGGGTAGGTAGGGTAGGGTAGGGTAGGGTAGGGTAGGTTAGGGTAGCGTAGGGTAGCATAGGGTAGGATAGGGTGGGGTGGGGTAGGGTAGGGTAGGGTAGGGTAGGGTAGGGTGGGGTGGGGTGGGGTAGGATAGGGTAGGGTAGGGTAGGGTAGGGTAGGGTAGGGTAGGGTAGGGTAGGGTAGGGTAGGGTAGGTAGGGTAGGGTAGGGTAGGTGCGGTAGGGTATGGTAGGGTAGGATAGGGCAGGGTAGGGTAGCGTAGGGTGGGGTGAGGTGGGGTGGGGAAGGGTACGGGTGGGGTAGGGACTGAGTGGTTGCCTTCTGTGCTGTTGCTGCTGCGTTGCGGTTGCTGCGCTGCTGCCATCTTGCGGCATGACATCCATGCCATCCTTGCTCCACTCCATCACTCCCCGCCACTGCTCCTCCCTCCCCTCCCCTTCCCCCTTGCCCCTCCGCTTCCTCTCCCCCCTTCCACCCTCTTCCCCCCTCTCCAGCAATCTTCACACATCACCTTTGGCGCCTTCCGTTTCCTCACCGGCACATGCCCTCGCACCTCTCAAGCCAACCCTCTCGCCCTGCCCACCCACACGCAAGGCCCAGAGCAGAAGCAGGGGCAGGGGCAGGGGAAGCGAGGCGGATCAGCAGGAGGTGTGGCAGCAGCAGGGGGAGCTGCGGGAGAGGGGCAAAGGGGGGAGGGATGGGCAGTGGAGGGAATGAGGTGGAGGGAGGCGGAACCAGCATGCAAGAACACAACACTGTACCCTGACAGGAGCATGTGCCTCGAGGGGGTGGGGCAACGGAAGTTTGTGGTCGACCCAAGGCGAATACACATGCTGACTGTGAGTACAGGCAGAGAACGCCTCTTTGCCGTGTTTTATGCAAAACCTCCTGCGCTACTGCTTCTTGATCTACCTGCCCTGTCTGCCCTGCTGCTTTCCTCGTGCTGCTTTCCTCGTGCTGCTTTCCTCGTGCTGCTTTCTTCCTGCTGCTTCCCTCGTGCTGCTTTCCTTCCTCGTGCTGCTTTCCTCGTGCTGCATTCCTCGTGCTGCTTTCCTCGTGCTGCTTTCCTCGTGCTGCTTTCCTCGTGCTGCATTCCTCGTGCTGCTTTCCTCGTGCTGCTTTCCTCGTGCTGCTTTCCTCGTGCTGCTTTCCTCGTGCTGCTTTCCTCGTGCTGCTTTCCTCGTGCTGCTTTCCTCGTGCTGCTTTCCTTCCTCGTGCTGCTTTCCTCGTGCTGCTTTCCTCGTGCTGCTTTCCTCGTGCTGCATTCCTCGTGCTGCTTTCCTTGTGCTGCTTTCCTCGTGCTGCTTTCCTCGTGCTGCTTTCCTCTTGCTGCTCTCCTCGTGCTGCTCCCTCGTGTTGCCGGCAGCGGTGCGGAGTGCAGGTGAGAGTGACCTGGGTGTAGTCACTGGCGTTGGGAGATGGGAAGAGGCAGTGCTAGCACCTGCCCTTTGCTCTTACACTTGTACCTTTGAGGACCCACAAGAACCCTCGAATACATTGTGCACCCCACTTCAAGAACCCTCAACCACGTTCACCAACCCATGCCCATGAAGCCCTATCCAGCTGCGCAAGGTGTGAGAGCTGCGGGCAGGGGAAGCGAACCTGCCGACCACCACGGTGCACATCAGCCACTTCCCCAGCGCCAAGCCCTTTCACTTCACCCCTACCTGCTCCTACAATCCCTATCCAGGTGCACAAGGTGCTGGAGCCCCGGGCAGGGGAGGTGAACCTGCCCACCACAGCAGTGCACATCAGCCACTTCCCTAGCCTCACTTCGCGCCACCTGCGTCCCTGTGCCAACACGCTCTCCCCAGAGGACGTTTCCGCACGCCTTCTGGTCCTTGATGGCTCGGTTGCTGACTTGGCGCGGACGGTTCGGTCGGCTGCAGAGTCTGTGGCTGCTGCTGCTGCTGCTGCTGATGGTGGCGGTGGTGGTGGTGCTGCTGCTGCTGCTGCAGCTGCCAGGTGAACAAGGTTCAGGGTTATGTGATCCTAAGCCCTAGGCGCCTGAAACCTTGATTCCTCCCAGTAGCTAAAATTCAAATACGTTTTTGGGTTAGTTTCTCAAATGGAAATACCCGTTTGTGCCATTCCAAAACCTTGATTTGATAAGTGACCACTGAGGTGTACTGCGGGGTAATGGTTAGCCCTATTCACACTATGCCGGATCACAGTGTCTTGCACCAAGCTGAACATGCCAGCCATAAACCATCACATTGTCAATTTATACATATGCTTATATGTAGAAGTTATTGTTAACTTATATATATTATTTATATATATAGTTGTGTAGGCTTGGTAGGTTAGGTGTTTCTACAAATTAATGGATCCTACTGTAGAGGGTACAACACCCTTCTTGTACCTCTCTCTCTTTCCTAGTTCACTCTCTTTTCTCTCGTAACTTTCCTCCCTAGCTAAAACCTCTCGACTTTTCTCATGACTAGCTACTAGGCTCCTTAACTCCTTTCAACATGGTTTCAGAGCAGGCCCATCCTGCTGAGCCTTGGCATCACGCTTCCGCAGCGTCCTCTCGCCCCTCCCGTCACTTACGCGTTGCTGTGGCGGCCATGTCGTGCTGCCACGGCGGCCTTTTTGCGCTGCCATGGCAGCCCTAACGCGCTGCTGTGGCATCAACGCCACACCATGGCGGCGTCGTCGTGCTGCCGTGGCGGCGTCGACGCGCCAGCGAATGGACGGCAGCGGCCAGCGCACGGTTTTATTGCCGGTCAGCTCGCCCGCATGCCAGCCAGCGCCGCGCCAGCCATGGCGCCTCGATGAAGACTCGCCCCCCTCCTCTGCATTTCACCTCCTCCCCGCCGCAGCTGCTGGCGGTCTTGTGTCGTCCTCCCCCCCGTCGTCACAGTGTGAGCCACGCCGTTGGGTTCCTTGGGCGGCCGCGGCACTGCAACACCCTTCTTGTACCTCTCTCTCTTTCCTAGTTCACTCTCTTTTCTCTCGTAACTTTTCTCCGTAGCTAAAACCTCTCAACTTTTCTCATGACTAGCTACTAGGCTCCTAAACTCTTTTCAACAGGTATAGGCTAGATGGGTTTGTGTTCTTAGAGGGTACAACTCCAACCCTATATATTCCTTGTACTGTCTCGTTCTAGTCACTTTGCTACTCTGAGATGGTATCACGCTAGGTAGGTCCCACCCACTCGCGCTTCTGCCCTAGCCTACCGTAGCCTACCCCAACCTAGCCCACCCTGCCACACCGCCCTAGTCTGCCGTGCCGCGCCGCGCTGCCCTAGTCCGTAGTGCCGCGCTGCCCTAGGTCGCCACGCTGGCCCATCACGCCGTGCTAGCCGTGCGGCCCTGATAGCCGTGCGGCCCTGCTAGCCGTGCGGCCCTGCTAGCCGTGCGGCCCTCAGCTCGCTGCGGCCCCCACTCGCCAATGGCCCAAGCTAGCCGTGTGGCCCCAGCTCGCCGCAACCCCTGCTCGCCGCCGGCCCCCGCTCGCCGCCGGCCCCAGCTCGCTGTGGCCCCCACTCGTCGCCGGCCCCTGCTCGCCACGAGGCTCCAGCTCGCCGCTGGCTCCAGCTCGCTGTGGCCCCAGCTCGCCGCCGGCCCCAGCTGCCGCGGCTCCCAGCTCGCCGCGGCCGCTGCTCGCCGCTGGCCCCAGCTCGCCGCCGCCCCCACTCGCCGTCGGCCATGGTTCGCCGCGCCGCCCCAGCTCGCGGCTGGCCCCCGCTCGCTATGCCGTCAAGCTTGTCGTGCCGCCGTGTCACCCCAGCTTGCCGGCCCCTCCACGCCTCCAGCCCTGGTTCCACTCTAGCCGGCGCATCGGCCGGCAATATCCTCTGTCGCGGCTTCATTGCGCCCCATCGCACAATACCGCACTCCACTGCTCTCCACCGCTCTCCACCATGCTCAACCGCACCTCCCCACTCTTCACCGCACCTGCCTGCCCCTTCCTCCTCCTCTTGCGGTCCTCAGCTGCTGCAGCTAGAGTGATGGCGGATGCTGTGCTCCGCCTGAACGCGGAGGGTCGGGCGGTTGACTTTGAGGCATGGCTCGCTGACCTCCGTCGCCAGCTGAAGGGTCAGCGCCAGGATGGCCAGTCCCTGGCCGTCCATGTCGACGCTAAGCTCCCCTGCCCCGACCCGCCTGCTGCCCTCCCTGACTCCCCCACTCCTGCTGAGCATACGGCTTTTACAGCAGATGAGCTTGCCCGCTCTGTTTGGGAGTCGCGTAACGCGGTTGTGCACCTTATTATCAGTCACGCTCTCCCCTTGTCCAAGCGTCCCCCCTTTCAGGCCGTAGAGATTGCGCAGGAGTACCTAGATTTTGTCATTGCGTGCTATTCCACTCCCTTCTCTGCCTCTGCTAGTCATCTCCTCCTGCCCCTACTCTTCCCGGATCTCGCGTCCATTCCCACTGTTGCTGATCTTGCCAGTCACCTGCGCGCGCTTGAGACTAGCTACCAAGCTGCTAGCACTCAGGCCCAATTTACTGTACTGCCTCCCCCCCTCAACGCTACCCTTCACTTCCTAGCCACGTGCCTTCCCGACCGCCTAGCCACTACCCACGACGCCTTCCTTAGTCTTCACCCCGCTGACCTCACCCTTACCGAGTTTGTCACCACCCTATCTGCAATAGAGACCCGACAGTGCACTATCGCTTAGTAAAGCGGTACCGCGATGGTCCCTATCTTCCAAGGCAGTGCCCCCTCATAGTGGACTTACTCTGACGCTTTTGCCGCTGTCGCTGAGACAGCCCCTGCCGCTGAGACCGCTGCAGCGGCCTCAGCGTAGGCTTGTCAGGGTAAGGGCCACCGCCCCAAAGAGGGGATGAGGGGGAGGGAGGGGTGGCGAGGGTGGCGGCGGTGGTGGAGGTGGTGCAAGTGCAGGCGATGTAGACGAGGGGGCGGGTGCTGATGCCTCGGAGAAGCAGCAGCAGCAGTGGCAACTGTGGGGACCCCCGCCGCGGTGGTGGCCTGGCGGCTTCGGTGGTGGTGGCCGCGGTGGCTGCCCTCACAGCTCGACGTCGGGTGGCTACTCTAGCTCTGTGAGCTACCATACGAGCTCCAGTCTAGTCCCTTTTGTGGCACCGTGTGTGGTCGTACTAGTCACACCGCCGCCAGCTGCTACCACCGCATCGACGACCTCTTTCGTCTCCGCTTCAGGCCCACGCTGTCCCTCGTGGATTGGCCCAGCCTGGTACGTCGTCGTGTGCCGGTCTTCGAGATAGATATGGATCATATTAGCTCTGTTTGTATGCCATGTATGCTAATGACTCTAGTGTGACTGAACCTTATTATCCTGTGTTGCCTAACATAGGTGTATCCACTGTGTGTAGTCTAGGCTCCCCTTTTGTGTCCAGCGTAGTACATCCTGCCTTCTTTAGCCTTGGCTCTACGCTAGTGCCTGCACCGGCTGACGCTACCACCGCGCTCTCCTTCACGCTAGACTCTGGTGTGTCCCCCTACTTCTTTCGTGACCACACCACACTCGCGCCGCTTGTCGCCCCGAGGCCGTCGCCCTTGCCGACCCTTCCTCAAGTGCGGTAGTCGCACGTAGTTTCGCCACCCTTCCCTGTCCGGCGGTTCCCTCGGGCTCTCTTACGAGCCTGCACATCCCCTCGTTCTCCAAGAACCTAGTTGGTGTTGGCTATCTTTAGGACCTTGGCATCACCACTACGTTCCCTGGACACGAGCGGTGCGGAGTCTGTACCAAGGGCGCCATTGGTGCCCCCTTCACCACATTCCCCTGAGACCCAGTGTCTGGCCTGTTCACGCTGGACACCGCAGCCCCCCAAGTGGCTGCGTCTACCCAGGTCGCTGCTGTTTACTCGTGTCAATCGCTCACTCACACGTAGCTACTGTGGCACCATCGCCTATGTCACCTCGCACTCCCGCGTCTACGTCACATGTCACAACACGGTCTTGTCTTAGGTCTTCCTACATTGCTTCCTATCCTCCCTCCCTCCCCCGCGCCTCCGAACACACCTTTCTTCGAGGGCCAACTGCACCGTGCTCCTCACTCCTCCTCATTTCCCCCCACCACTGCGCCACTCCAGACCTTGCACCTGGACGTCTGGGGCCCAGCCCCCGTCCTTCGGCCGTGTCGCAAGCGCTACTACCTGGTTACTCGTGCTATACCACCGTGTTTCTTTTGGAGCGGAAGGCTGACTTGCTTGACGTTCTTATCCTATGGCTTGTAGCTGCGCGGGTACACCGCGCCCAACCGGTGCTTCGTCTCCACTCCGACCGTGGCGGTGAGTTTGCCTCTGGTCGGCTTGGCCAGTTCTGTCGTGCAGAGGGCATCACTCGGTCGTACACCCTGTCGAACTCCCCCCAACAGAATGGGATCACTGAGTGACGCATCGGTTTGGTCATGGAGGTGGCTCGTACCTCCATGATCCATGCCAGTGCACCCTATTTTCTCTGGTCGTTTGCTGTTCGCTACGCCGCTCATCAGCTTAACCTTAGTCCGCACTCTCAGCAGCCGCAGGTTTCGCCGACCCTCCTCTGGATTGGGTCCCCTGATGACGCGTCTGCGTTTCACGTCTGGGGCTGCATCGCTCACATTCGCGCCTCTGGCGCAGACAAGCTCACTGCCCGCACTATCCCTTGTGTCTTTCTTGGCTTCCCCCTTGATGCCTTTGACTAGCACTTCTACCACCCGTCTTCTCACCACTTCTTTTACTCGTGTGACATCACATTTGACGAGTCTGTCTTCTTCTACGCCCACTTTCCCCAACGAGGTCTCCCAGTCACCCCACCTCTATTCCTTGTCCCCACTCCCCCAGTAGTTCCCGCCACCCTCCCTCCCCATCCTGCCCTGTCTAGTGGATCTCACGTCACTCCCCTTCCTTTGGTTGGTCCAGCATAGGAGTCTACTGGTTCTAGGAGCCCTGCGGATCCGGGTAGTCACCTGTTTTTACGGCGCCTGCACCCTCGTTCCCGGTGTCTCCTCCTCCATCGTTGCCGCAACGTTGGTCGCCGCAGCCATCGCAGCAGCAGCCGTCGCCGCCGCCGCAGTAGCCGGGGTCTGTGGTCGCTGGGGGGGTTGGCGCTGGGGGTGCTGTCTCTGAGGAGGGTTCTGGTTCTAGGGGTGCTATTTCTGTGAGTGCTTGTCCTAGGGGTACTGGTCCTTGGGGTGCCGTCGAGGAGAGACTTGAAGGTCGCAGTGGTGCGGCTGACAGTTTTGGTGTCGGCGCGGAGCAGCAGTGGCCGCAGCAGCCGTAGCAGCATTCGCCGCCCGTGTCTGCCCTTCGCCTCC